GATAAAATTTTTCTTATTGATGAAAGTGATCTTGAAGATGCAAATATAAAACCAACAAAAAATATTTATTTATTACATGAAGAATTTTTTAACATAACACATCTGGCTTGTCGATATCCAAAATTAAATATTGATAATCAAGATATATTGAAATATTTACAACCTGTTACAAAATCTAAACCAGATTGTGAAAAAGCAACAAATTGGGTTTATATTGATAATGGTTTGTAAGATAACAAAACAAAAAAAAATCTTTAGAAAAAAATTTATATGAATTCAATTTTATTCAGGTACTTTTCGATTATCAAAACAAGCTTTACAAAAACATGGAGCTATTGTTTGTGCTTATCGTCCTATTCTTCGATCAAAAGATGATTTTTCAACAATGGAAGGCGCTCGATTATTTCCTGTTGTAGATAAAATGCCTCTTGTATCAGATTTTTTTCGTGCTGATTGTCGAGCACGTGATGGAAGTTTTTATTCAAATATACATTCCGGTATTATGTTTGATCCTGGCTTACATATGAGGTTTTTTCTTTTTTCTTTATTTCTTGTACATTAAACTATTATTTCAAAATCTATTTTAGACATATATGGAATCCAATGGTTAAAACTCATTTAGGATATAATATATTAATGTTTGGTTTTGATTCTGTTTCTCGAATGACTTTTATGCGTTTTTTACCAAAGAGTTATAATTATTTAATTAAAGAATTAGGAAGTATTGTAATGAAAGGTTTGATTTTAATATAAAATTTTTAGATATTTATTTAATTTATCAAAATTTTCTAGGTTATAATATTGTTGGTGATGGTACACCAGCAGCACTTTTACCTATTTTAACTGGAAAAACAGAAAGAGAATTACCTGAAGCAAGACGTGGTCATATTGGTGCAGAAACAGTTGATCGATTTCCTTGGATATGGAAAAAATTTAAAAGTATAATATAATATAATATATTTCAATTTTTATATTCATCAAAATAGATCGAGCAAAAAAAAAAAGCAACAAGAAGAGATTATTAGTATTGTATAAATGAAGAGAAAATAAATTTTTATTTCGAGTTAGTTCGATCAATACAAAATCTACGACTAAATTTTATAACATTGATAAAAATGAATTGTTTTTTTTTTTCAAAATCTAGATAATGGTTATATTACTCAATGGGCTGAAGATTTACAATCTGTTGGTACATTTCAAATGCGTTTAAAAGGTTTTCTTGATCAACCTGTTGATCATTATGGTCGTCCATTTTATCTTATTGCTGAATCTATGCGTACATCTAAACCATATTGTTTTGGTTCTATAACACGTCTAAAATCAATGCTCAATTGGGCACGTGATCTATTTCATATGTATCCAAGTCAACCCAAATTTTCTTTTATTTTTCATTCACAATATTCTCATGATTCAAATAATCGTTTACCATATGGTGATGATGAATTACTTGAATTTTTAATATTTATGAATGAATATGGTTATTTTGATAATACAATATTTATTTTAATGACTGATCATGGTGCTCGTTTTTCAACATTAAGAAAAACATATCAAGGTAAATTAGAAGAACGTTTACCATTTATATCTATTCGTATGCCATTAAAATTTCAAGAAAAATATCCTCATATTATGCATAATTTACGTTTAAATTCTCATCGTTTAACAACACCATTTGATTTACATGAAACATTTCAACATTTATTTGAATTTCACTCTAATGATCCATATGAATCAAAATCAAATCGTGCCTATAGTCTTTTTGAATTAATACCAGAAAATCGAACTTGTTTACAAGCTCATATAGAACAACATTGGTGTGCATGTCTTCATTGGGATGATATATCAATTAATGAACCAATTATTCTAAAATTTGCAGAACAAGCTATAGATTATTTAAATAATTTAATATTAGAATATAAAAATCAATGTTCAAAATTAATTTTATATCAAATAAATAAAGCAAATCAATTAAAAGCTAATGAACGTTTATTAAAATTTATTGGTTCAAGTGATAAAGATGGTCGTATTCCAAATTTTCGTAATAATACATTGAAAAAATTAACAAAAAATTTATCATTAAATCAAACAAAATATTATCAAATTCAATTTGAAACTATACCTGGACATAGTCAATTTGAATTAACAGCTGAATATAATCCATTGAATGATACATTTTTGATAACAAAAAGACATTTAAGTCGATTGAATAAGTATGGACATTCATCAGCTTGCATAGCATATCAAAGACCTGATCTTCGAGAAATTTGTTATTGTTCGAAATCGTTAAATCGTACTCAAAAATTCAATCATTCTCATGTAAATGTTGTTAAGAATGATAAGAAAAAATCAATAAAAACTGAAACGACTGTTGCAACTAGTAACAGTCTTCATCGTTAAATGTAAATATGATTCAATTCGAGAGAACCTTCTCGGGACATATTTTTTCTCTTCGAGATCGATTAACTGCGTTAATATTTCAGTGGTACAAACTATAAGTATGGATCTATACATTGAGTTGGATCAATTTTTTAACGCATCTACACGGCAGATATGCACACATGTAGTGAGCAATTGTGTGGGATTTATCTCAAAACGCGTAGGGTGCTTATTGAAAAATTGAACAAAAAATAGGTCCCGATAGCTGCTGGAAACTTAGTTATAAAGTTATTATATGAGTGAAACTTTTGTTGTTGTTCTGGTTTTCGTTTGTGAACATCAAGGTGTATCCTTTGCTGCTGGAAGCAGACTACAAGAATTTAACCTTATTGCCATATGAATCATGTGTCTGACAACAGATTCTTTGAAAGAATTCGGACAATTGTAAATTTCATTTATACACTGTGATGTATCGTCTGGCAAAGTTGTTTTCCATATTCTCAATTCAAGATCTTTGAATTTATCAAGTGACGACAATTTTTTTTGTTTGTATTTTTCTATTTCACTTTTCGTAATATTTTGTATTTCACGAACTGGTATATAGTAATCACAGTTAATTCCTTTGTTTTAGATGGTTTTTGCAATATTTTTGTTGAGAATCTTGAAAAATGATATGCATCAGTCTATTTTTTAAGTATTATTAATGGCTTTGTTGAAAATACAATTCTATTGGTTTGACTCTGATTATGAGACTTGGATCATTTATTTACAATTCTGTTGACAGTATTAAAAAGTCTTCGTAGTGTGTGTCGTTCGATAAATGCATGTTTGTCTTTGATGATTTTATTTATTATTTTTGACCAATTTTTAGTCCGTAGTGTTAAGCTATTGTATCCTTGAAACCACGAATCATGAGTATTTAACCATTCTGAAAACTCTTTCTCTCTATTGTTCTATTTCTCTAAAAATAAGGACGATGCATTTCTTAAGACTATTTTCCCATCGCATGTGACAGAAGAAAAGCCAGAGAGAGAAAATATATCCAGTATTCTGCTATCTGCATAATCTTTATCTCTTCTTTTATAATCTTACTTTGTCTTAATTACAAACTACTGGCTAATAATAATTTTTACTCATCAAATTTGTCTTATAACTATAATTTTCAATTTCTTAGCTTAGTGAAAAAATATTTTATCTGTTCAGGGCGAAGTATATTAAGTCTGCATACAGTAAGAAAAAATACGATCATAATACGGAGCCATGTAATACGCCAAAATATGACGATTTACGATGATACAATACTTCGAAACCCGAAGTTAACAGAAGCCATCATGAATCTCGCTGAACAGTATAAGAAACTCATCGAAATAGTACAAAAACCGGTCGAAAACATCCCGGAACTCATCATATCTAACTACAACTCATTGATTCGTGTATTCAATTTCGGTAGGAACCGGCCGTACCTAAAGTCTTTCCAGGATATTTTCTGCAAGTTCCGCTCAATTTTCCAAAGAAATCCGCCAGAGAAACTAAAAACTTGGAAGAAGCATTTCGAACTGTAAAGCCACCATACCAAAAACAATAATTACCAACAACACATCGGCATCATGAATGGAGAGAAACTGGGTGGGTGTGGGTGGGTATGGGTGAAAAGATAACTAACACTCATACCCACACTCCACCCACACCCTTTAAGAGCATAAAATTTGGAACAAAACGAGGAATCGCTACACTTCCTAAGACTTTCCCATAAGAAGTTCAAAATGCTACAGAGGCGATTTTTTTAGTCGATTTTTTGAGAAATTTTGTATTTTTACGATTTTTGCGATACTTTCAATTTTTCAAGGGAAGCTCGTAGAAAGATGCAACGGCCTTTTATATTGTATAGAATTTTATACTCTTTAAATTAGTTTTGTTAAAAAATAACTTGTAACACCTGAAAACTACAATATTCGTTTGTCATCATAGGTTATCACCGAAATCTTGGTATAGAAAACTTCTTCGGCTATCACAATCATTATCTGGATTTGATTTCATTGCTTAACACTATAGAAATAAAAAAGCGTTGTTCTTAAACTTTTTTTAACCACCTTAGATTAATAATAGAGACAAGAACATGTATGGTTTCGGTCTGACTTACAACATGAATTATTTGATATTCATCTTTTCATAAATTATGATGATAGTTCAAGATATGCTGCTATATTCTTCATAATTACAAGAAATCAATAAAAAGATAGCAGATAAAATTTCTCAGGTATGAACACATGCATTTACGTCAATATATATCTTAATGACTAATGAAAATCAAATAATATTTGCATTCTATAACGAAAACATGCAATCTTTCTTTACGTTTTCATACGTCAAGAAATACCTGAGAGCATGCCTTACTGCGTCATTTTCATAGATAAAACTAGACTTTGTTTTGTTATATATACATGATAAGAAGGTGTAAGTGTAAATAATGAATCAGGTAA